TGATTGGTTTGCTGGAAATGTTTCATTGTGAAACTAGGCTACATCATCAGTGCTAGTAAAAAGTGGGGTTTGCTCTCATTTTATATATTAGTGGTTTCTCGTTTAGTGTTGAGGCAAGTGGTCTTGGTGGTTCCTTGATTGGTCTATTTATAAACCAACAATCAAGAAGCAAACAATACCCAAATCAAATAACCATCAATTCAGACAAACAAGGTAACAATAAACAACACCCTCATAGGGAACCACCAAGACCATTCTCACCAAAGTCTGCAAAAAAACAAGCAAGCTCAGAGAACACCAAGAACCTCACTTTGGAAGACAGATTCTAGATTCAGAAGGATCTTGACAAACGTGAGCTCTATCCAATAAGATGCAGTTCAAAGATGAGAAAAATAAGGTCCTGCCCTTAGACAGGAACAACCAAATGCATAGGTAGAGAAAAGGAGTTACCCGACTCAAGTGTAGTAACTGTGAGGGAACTTGATATTCTAGTGTACTATCATCTAATACAACCAGCAGTGTTCTGCAGCAGTCAAAAAAGCATGTGAAGCCCAAGGCTGCATCAACAGAGGGATAGTGTCAAGTACCGGGATCCCCAACCCTTGTGGCCCATTGTGAAAGCCGTGCGCATGTGTGCATGCAAAACCATCTCCTCTCGCCGCCACCACTTCCGCCCGTCTGTGTCAGACATTTTGGGGTCAAGATCATGAGAAGTGATAGTACCACACACTACATTAGTGAGCCACACTTGTAATACTGCAAGCAGTACTAGTCACCAACACACAAAACATTACTGAGAGACTAAAAAGAGTGCAGAGAAAAGCAACAAAGATGACAAAAGTTATGGAGGATAACTCATAAGATAAATAGGTTAAGGGAACTAGGAATGTCTAATATAATGAAAAGAAGGGTATTGCATGTGACATAACTGTCTTTGAGCATTTGAAGGCTATCACAGAGAAGAGGGAGTCAGCTTGTTTTCCAAAGCATCTGAGGGCAGGATAAGAATCAATGGGTAGACTTGTTGAAGACAGATCCAATTGGAAACTAAGGAGAAATTTCCTGACAATAAGAACAATTGATCAATGGAACAACTTGCCTCTCAGAGTTCTGGGTGCTCCATTGCTGGAGGTCTTCAAAAAATATTTGGCAGTCATTTATTCAGGATACAATAAGGTCTCCTGCATTGCATTGGGGGGGGGGGGATTTGAACTTGAAGACCTCCAAGATCCTTCCAGCCCTATGATAATTATGGCTTCATTATCTTGTCATTTTGTTTTAAAATAGAATTTAGTGGCAATTTATTATAGCTTTCATAGTCTCCACTCTAACCATTCTTGTATATATACCATCATAGCAGAAAATTATGTCATGCCAATATCTGTGGACATCTGATAACCAGTTAAGAGTGTAGGGAAGCAATGTAGAATAAACATTTTAATTTGGTCAAAACATCTCCTAGAAATGTCAGACAAGGAAATGTATAGCATTATCTGAAAACTAAGCTCTAGCATTCATGGATTTGATTCCTTGCCTTCTCTCACTTCTCCCTTCCCCCATTCTTTGCTATGTATGTTTATTTATGATGCCAAGGATATTATGGCTAGAGAAAACAGAGACAGTATAACTAAGACTTTAACATTTTAAGAACAAAAATTGTTTAAATTTTCAAATTATGCACTTAAAATTGAATAGCTAAATCAAGTAAATTGTTCTTTCATTTCCTGATTATTCTCTAATATTTTATTAATATTTCTAACTGCTATATTTATTTCAATAAAAAGCCCAGCTAAAATATTATTTGTTAAATAATTAAATGGGATGTCCATGCAGTCATGCTTACCACTGGATTGTGATTTTCTCCCTGTTGCTTCTTCCCTGAGCTTTCAAAACCAACATTCTGTGAAAAGGGAAACAATAACTTTGGTTAAAACTATAACTATATACAATATTCTACAACCTTCTGTTTATTTTTTGCTAATACTTCCCCCTTTTAAAAATCTTCACCAAAATAAGCTATAGATCAAACACCAAAGCGCAGTAACAATTTTAAAAGATATTAGGATATGTACAATAGAAAAATATATATTTAAAAAAACCAAAACAGTCATTTGCTACCAAGTGAAGGTGTTTCACAAAAAGGGAGCTATGGAACCAAAGTTCAATTCCTTTGTTCAGGAATATTGCATCTGTATTCCAAAAATGGCTTCATATTCGGGTAGGTTTGTACTACATAAGGCAACTCAATCAAATCTTTTATGTGAAACAGCCAGTGTTTCTTAGGGCAGACATGTCAAGTTATGCCAATAAACAATAGTGCCCAACTTCAAGGCTAAAAAGCAAATATCAATATTGAGAAAACAATGGAAGGCTAAGAGAAAGAAGAGACAGAATTGAACTATGATTAATATACAAATGCATCTTGGATGTCTGCTTGCCATTACCCATTTTAGGGCTTCTTCCTAGTATGCAGTAGCTAGCCACTTTCTGTTAAGGAGAGAACCTGCATGTTACTCAACCTCTACTAAGCCAAATGCTAAATAAAAGCTTGTCAGTAAGTCTAACAACTTAGAATGTTACAGCCCACTACAAAGGCTTTACACTGATTCCAAAAACTGACTAGAAACTAGCGGAACTGAGTTCTGTTCAAAAACATCCCATTGCAATTAGCAGTCCTGCTCACCTATTTGAGACCAACTCAAGGCAGCCCAAAATAGAATGTATTATGATTATCTCCTATGCCATTGAATATGCAACCACAGGGAAGGATTATTCCCAGACTTTAAACCAATTGTCATCTATATGCTAATGACAGGATTCCTCTCAATTCTATATTTCTCTATTGTTATAAGTTTAGGATTGAGTATTTCCAAGGCCTCTGAATAATTTCAGGAAGTAAAGGAATGTACTGTATTTTTCGGACTATAAGATGCTCCGGAAGTAGAAGCTTAGCTTTTGGGGAGGAAAACAAGAAAAAAAATCTGCCTTTGCCTCCCAGCAATTTGCCTCCTTGCAGCAAACAACAAACAGCCTGGTCAGCTTCAGCACAACCTGATTTAGCATGAGCAGCTGATTGGCGGCTGGATTGGCCTCCCGTATCGGCCTCCCAGAATACTGCCTATCAGTTGTTCCAGGTTGTGGGGATCACTGTCGCTCATAGATGCTGCCACCTATCACCGCCTCCACATGCTCTATTTTCGGCCTCCACACATCCCATTTTCTGCTGGTCCCAGGTGGCAGGGATCACCGCCGCCTATCCCTGCTACCTGGAACAGGCATAAAATGGAACACACGGAGGCCAAAAATAGGGCGCACAGAAGTGGTGATAAGTGGCAGCGGCGGCAATGGAGAGCAGTGATCCCCGCAACCTGGAACAGCTGATAGGTGGGATTCTGGGAGGCCAATCCAATTGCCAATCAGCTGCTCATGCTAAATCAGACTGTGCTGAAGCTGACCAGGATGTTTGCTGTTTGCTGCAAGGAGGCAAATTGCTGGGAGGCAAAGGCAGATTTTTTTTCTTGTTTTCCTCCCCAAAAGCTAAGCTTCTACTTCC